TTTGGGAGGCCGAGGCGGGTTGATCGCAAGGTCAAGAGATCGAGACCATCCTGGTCAACATGGTGAAACCCCGTCTCTACTAAAAATACAAAAAATTAGCTGGGCATGGTGGTGCGTGCCTGTAATCCCAGCTACTCAGGAGGCTGAGGCAGGAGAATTGCCTGAACCCAGGAGGCGGAGGTTGCAGTGAGCCGAGATTGCGCCATTGCACTCCAGCCTGGGTAACAAGAGCACAACTCCGTCTCAAAAAAAAAAAAAAAAAAAGGTACAGCAACTTTGGAAATAATCAGGCAGTTCCTCAAAATATGAAACACAGAGTTACCATAAGACGCAACATTTCTAATCCTAAGTATATACACAAAAGAAATGAAAACATACATCCATACAAATACCTGTAAACCAGTATTCATTATAGCATTATTTAAAACAGTCAAAAAATAAAAACAATCCAGATGTCCATCAACTGATGGGAAAAAATATTTTTCCCATATAATTTCCATAAGTAAAATATTATTCAGCCATAAAAGGAAATAAAGTGCTGACACGTGCCCAATACGGATGAACTTTGTTTTCAAGGTTCTTGTGCTATCACTGGCATAGTGAAATTTTTTGTAAAAGTGAAAATAAGCCAGTCACGAAAGTTCATATTTTGTTTCTTTTATATGAAAGGTCCAGAATAGGTACATCCATTGACAAGGAAAACAGATGAGCAGTTGCCTAGGGCCTGGTGGACTTGGGAGGAATGAGGGGGTGACTCTAAAAGGATATGGAGTTTCTCCTGGGGGTTATAAAAATGCTTTTAAAATTGTGATGGTGCATAACTCTGTGAATACACTAAAAAGGACTTTAAATGGGTGAACTGGGTAGTATATAAATTATACCTCAATAAACCTGTTAGGAAAAGATTTATTCAGCATAGCTAAGAATAATAGTAACAACTTTGTTCTAAAATCTTAGAGTTAAGGGATTAAATGAAGCAGTATTCTGTAATGGGACATTAAGTAACTACTTTAATATTAGATTATCTAAAGGATTATATCTTTTTAAAAGATAATGGTTACCTTATTTTAAAGAACATTTTGTAATAATTTACTGCGAAATTATTTTTAATTGAATAAGTTATATAGGCTTATGCTTAAAAACCATTTTTTTAACAGTACAAGTTCAGAGATTACTTTGAAAAATAAGCCTCCCTAGGCTGGGTGCAGTGGCTCACTCCTGTAATCCCAGCACTATGGGAGGCCAAGATGGGCCGATCACTTGCCATCAGGAGTTCAAGACCAGCCTGGCCAACATGGGGAAATGCCATCTCCAAAAAAGAAAAAAAACTCAATTAGATTTTAAAAAGCAAACAATCTATACTAGTTTTCTGTTTGTTTTAGAGACAGGATCTTGTTCTGTTGCCCAAGCTGGAGAGCAGTGATGTGATCATGGCTCACTGCAGCCTTGAACTCCTGGCCTCAAGCGATCTTTCCCCCTCTTATCCCCAAAATCCCACCAGTAGCTGGGATTATAGGTGCTGCCACCATGTCTGCTTCTTTTTTTTTTTGGTAGGGACTGAGTCTTACTATGTTGCCCAGACTGGTCTTGAACTCCCAGGCTCCAGTGATCCTCTCACCTTGGCCTCCCTGAGTGCTGGATTACAGGCATCAGCCACCATGCCCAGCTTGGTGATGTAGTTCATGAGTATTTATTATACTTTATAATTTACATGGTATGTATATTATTTTCCAGATCTTGAATCTTTTATATATATAAAAGTGTCTGGTCTGGCCAGATGCATCCTCATCCAGATGGTCATAGGTTCTTAAGAAATTATATATATAATTTTTAAGCAGGGTCTGGCTCTGTTGTGCAAACTGGGGTGCAGTGGCACGATCATAGCTCACTGCAGCCTACAAGTCCTGGATTCAAGTGATCCTCTTCCCTCAGCCTCCCAGGTAGTCAGGACTACAGGCACGCACTACAATTCCTGATTATTATTTTTTTTTTTAACAGAGGCGGGATCTCATTTCTTTTTTATTTTTATTTATTTATTTATTTTGCCTAGGCTGGTCTTGAACTCCTGGCCTCAAATGATCCTCCCACTTCAGCCTTCCGAAGTGCTGGAATTACAGGACTGAGCCATGGAGCCTGGCCCGCAAGCATTGTATTGTAAAAGACAATGAAAAACACACAAAACAAAAATGATCAGAGAGAAGCTAGGTGGCGTCAAATGCCTCGGCAAAAAGGGGTTAGGGCTGCAGCGCTACAATCAGATGTAACTTACAGATACAACTAGCCCAGACAGCGTTAAACTTGTTAACTGAATGCTTGGTGGCCAGAAATCCATGTCAGGATAATTCATTTGAGCACAGACTAAAGGGTTTGGACTTGCACTTACAGTCCAAGTTTCTCAAACTTGCTGGGTTTTATGAATCCTCTGACACTCCTTAGTAATACAGATTTCCAGGTGGCTCCCTTATAGATCCCGATTCCGTGCTCCTAGGAAGCAGCCAGGCAATCAGTATTTCATGGGTTCGGTGCCACCCGGTCCAACTTGACAGTGAAAAATAGCTCTGCCTGCCAGGTGAAGGACCTGATGCTGGCGGGCAGCGGGGACTGCCTGGTCAGCCCCAGGGGAGCAGGTGGCAAGCAGCCCCACCGCAGGAGCCAGTGGAAGTTAGCACAGTAAACCCAATCAACAAGCCGCAGTCACCCCTATTCCCCAAAAAATGGCCTCTTCAGCTCTTGCAGGGGAGAATCTGAAAGCCCCAAAGGGCAGAAGTCTAGGAGGAAATGATACCTGCAGAAAGAGATACAGTCTTGGTTATTGAAAACTGCCCAGAGCCTCCTAGGGACCCAACCCACCCCCTCCCTCCGGTGTGTCTTTTTTTTCTTTTCTTTTGTGACAGAGTCTCACTCTGTCCCCCAGGCAGGAATGCAGTGGTTCAATCTCAGCTCACTGCAACCTCTGCCTCCCGGGTTCAAGAGATTCTCATGCTTCAACCTCCTGAGTAGCTGGGAGTACAGGCATGTGCCACCACGCCCAGCTAATTTTTATATTTTTGCTAGAGACCCGAGCCTTGGACAACTGTTTTTTTTTTTTTTTTTTTTTGAGAGAGAGAATCTTGCTCTGTCACTAGGCTGAGTCATCCACCCACCTCAGTCTGCCAAAGTGCTGGGATTATAGGTGTAAGCCATTGCGCTGGCCTAGACAATTATTCAAATTGTTTCTCACACTGAAAAGTCACAGATAACACCAGCTACCTGGCAGAGTTGTTGGAGTAAATGGCAGCCTAAAACTGGCAGGGCCTAGATGAGAGTTAGTTCCCCCATAACTTGAACATCACCTTTCCTTAAAGCCTTCCCAGCTCAGTGCTTGCTCCCTCCTCACACCTTTATACTGCATCCCGTGGAGACCGGATCACATTGCCTCGTGCTGCTGCTTCTCCCTGCTCGTTTGTAAATTCAAGTTCAGAGACTCTTTCTAAACTCTGAGACACACCAAGGCCTGGCTGTGCTGACACTGACAGTCCCAGTCCATTGCCTACTGGATATGTAATCTTTGGTAATTTGACCCATCTCTGCCTCAGTTCCCTCATCTGAAAGTAGAGAATTGGATTCTCCACTTTAAAGGATTGTTGGGAGGCTGAAATTGGCTATATAAGTGGTGCACTTAAAAACGGGCTGCCATATAGAAGTATTTGCTGTTGTCGTCATCCCGTCCCCTCCTCTACATCATTTCTTCACCAAATGGAAGAGGCAAGAGGATTGCTTGAACTCAGGAGTTCGAGATCAGCCTGGACAACATGGCAAAACTCTATGTCTACAAAAATTAAAAACAAGCCAGGTGTGGTGGCACATGCCTATAATCCCAGCTACTGGGGAGGCTGAAGTGGGAGGATTGCTTGAGCCCAGATCGAGGCTGTAGTGATCTCCTGGGCTCAAGCAATGGGCTTTGTGTATATATATTAAAAAAAAAAAAAAGAAAAAAAAGGTGGGGCACAGTGACTCACGCCTGTAATCCCAGCACTTTGGGAGGCCAAGGTGGGCGATTCACCTGAGGTCAGGAGTGTGAGACTAGACTGGCCAAAATGGTGAAACCCCATCTCTACTAAAAATACAAACAAACAAAAAAAATTAGCTGCCATAGTGGCACATGCCTGTAGTCTCAGCTACGCAGGAGGCTAAAGTAGGAGAATTGCTTGAACCCAGGAGGCGGAGGTTGCAGTGAGCCAAGATGGTGTCATGGCACTCCAGCCTGGGCGACAAGAGCAAAATTAATTCCATCTCAAAAAAGAGTGAGTCTTGAGTAAAACTTCGTAGTCTGCCTACTCTCCCTTCTAATTCTCTTATCACTGCTATCATCTAAATTTCCAGGAACTCCTGGGAACTCCAACTGCTAGATGGCCAAGCTCCAGGGTGATTATTTCCTTAGACAAGCAAACACCTTAGCCCTCTAATAGGGTACTTCCCGGGGCTGGAATATCCACAGGAAGTCCTGTGAGGAAGAGCTCTGCCAAAACATTCCTTCCAAGGAAGGGACTGGTAAAGTGACAAATATGCCGAATCCTGTACAACATCCTGCATCCTCCATATGTGGTCCCAACTGCAGAGCTCATCCACAGGCAGGTCGCCGCTGACTCTATTCCTTTTCTCTGGGTTCCTGGGATGCATAAATATGACCCTATATAAGAAAACTAGAGGCCAGGCACGGTGTCTCATGCCGGTAATCCTAGCACTTTGGGAAGCCAAGGTGAGCGGGTTACGAGGTCAGGAGTTAGAGACCAGCCCGGCCAATATGGGGAAATCATCTCAACTAAAAATACAAAAACTATACGGGCGCAGTGGCAGGCACCTGTAATCCTAGCTACTCGGGAGGTTGAGGCAGGAGAATTGCTTGAACCCAGGAGACTGAGGTTGCAGTGAGCTGAGATCTCGCCACTGCACCCAGCCTGGGTGACAGAGCAGGAGTCCGTCTTGAGGAAAGAAGAAAACAAAAGCATACAGATAAAAAGTTGCACTTACAAAGCAGCTGAGTAATTTATTGGCATTAGGAAAGCATTCCTTTAAACAAGGGAGGAGATCCTGAACACACTAGTCTCACTGAGTTTATAAAAACTTGAGCCCACCAAACTCCCCATCATCTCTACACAGCTTAAACCCATGGCCAGGGGCAAGAATTCGAGTTAAATGAATGGAACCAGTCCAGTTACAAGTCGATAAAGGGAAACAGAGCGTGGGGATTTGCAGTTTTTGCTTTTACATTACAAAGTTTCCAACGCAAGAAGCCAACAATACCCCAGAGCAGCACCAAGTTACTTCCCACTGTTTCCCAAGGCACAAAAATCAGTAGTCCAAGTTCTAATAACATTTCCTGGAAAACAAGGACGCACCTCCAGTGGCTCTGTGCACAGCCTGCCCTTGATGTATCAAGTTCTTAAGAACCTACAACCGTCTGACACCCGTGGGGAGAGCACCCTCAGAGAATCCCAGCATCAGGTCTCAGTTTTCCCATCTGTAAAAGACAGCCGTGGAGAGTGGGAGAGCCTCTAGGCTTCCAGATCGAAGTCATCGCGCTCCTCGTTGTACTCCAGCACGTGCCGCTTGATCTTGGACGAGTCGACCCAAGTGACAAAGTCCTCCATGCTGCGCGTGACAAGGAAGGCGGGGTCGGTAACCACGTCAGGGCCCACGCGTATGTGGCCTTGCTCCACAAAAGCCACAGCAGCCTGAAGGTGCTGTGCCATGCGCAGCTTGAGGAGCACGGTGGGAAGGCGGCGGCGGCAGAAGGAGGAGGCCGTGACGAAGTCGCAAAGCTCCAGCGAACCGCGCGTGGGCACCAGGCCGAGAGCATACAGCTTGTCCAGCAGCGCGGCGGAAGCGCGCACGCGGAACGGGTCGCGTTCGGGCAGGTCGCGCAGGCGCCGCGCCAGCTCACGCACGGCACGGCTGAGCTGGTTGTAGCGCGTGTAGTCCTCCCGCCGCTGCAGCCGGTAACGCCGCAGCACGCGCAGCTCGTGTAGGTTGTGATCGGTGACCTCCCAGTTCAGGAAGTCCACCTGCTTCAGCAGCTTCTGCTCGTGGAACTTAAGCTTCCGCACCATGATGGCGGAAACCTCAGCAGCAGGACCCGAGGCTGAGAGCGCGTTCTGACGCCTGCGCGGTTTCTGCCCCAGCGCGCCAAAACCTGGAAGCCTGGGGACCCTGAGCCAATGAAAGAAAAGCTTAGGGTCACGCCCTCACTTCCCATTGGTCAAGGTGAGACCACGCCTCTGCACTGGCATCTCGCGTTTCTTTTTTTCTTCGCGTTTGGTGAAGGAGTGGGTAGATGCACCGGAGGGAGGTGGTGTGGACGGGTACCTACGAGGCTCCGCATGGTTTTTAGTAGCCAAAACTGTTTGTGCAGACATCATTTCCTCCAAGACTAATGCCCTTTGGGGACTGTTACGGTCTTCCGTGCTAGAGCTGAAGAGGCCATTTTTGGGGAAGAGGGGTGACTGTGGCTTGTTGATTGGGTTTACTGTGCTAACTGGGCTCCTGCGGTGCCGTGGGAGTGCTTGCGGGGCGGACTGTCCTGGGGCTGACCTGGTAGTTCCCGCCGGCCGCCAGCGTCAGGTCCTTTTTTTTTTTTTTAAGACGGAGTTTCTTTCTTGTTGTCCAGGCTGGAGTGCAGTGGCGTGATCTCGGCTTACTGCAACCTCCGCCTCCCCGGTTCAAGCAGTTCTCCTCCCCCAGCCTCCTGAGTATCTGAGATTACAAGCATGGGCCGCCACGCTGGCTAATTTTGTATTTTTACAAGAGACAGGGTTTCTCCATATTGGGCAAGCTGGTCTCGAACTCCTGATCTCAGCTGATCCGCTCACCTGGCAGGCGGAGCGATTCTTCACTGTCAAGTTGGACCAGGTGGCACCGAACCCATGAAATACTGATTGCCTGGCTGCTTCCTAGGAGCACAGAATCGGAATCTATAAGGGAGCCGCCTGGAAATCTGTATTATTAACGCAACACTTGCGTTATGAATCAGATGATTCGTAAAAAACAGCAAGTTTGAGAAACTTGGACTATAAGTACAAGTCCAAATCCTTTAGTCTGTGCTCAAATGAATTATCTTGACATGCATCTCTGGCCACCAAGCATTGAGTTGGCAAATTTAATGCTGTTTGGGTTAGTTGCATCCGTAAATTAATCTGAGGGTAGCGCTGCAGACCGAACCCCTTTTTGCCCAGGCATTTGACGCCACCTAGCTTCTCTCTGATCATTTTTGTTTGTATTCTTTTTATTGTCTTTTACAATACAATATTTGGGGGCCGGGTGCAGTGGCTCACGCCTGTAATCCCAGCACTTTGGAAGGCTGAGGTGGGAGGATCATTTGAGGCCAGGAGTTCAAGACCAGCCTAGGAAAAAAAAAAAAAAATCCCGCCTCTGTAAAAAATCTTAAAGAATTAGCCAGGCATGGTAGTGCGTGCCTGTAGTTCTGACTACCTGGGAGGATAAGGGAGAAGAATCACTTGAATCCAGGACTTGTTGGCTGCAGTGAGCTATGATCGTGCCACTGCACCCCAGCTTGCACAACAGAGCCAGACCCCATCTCCAAAAAAAAAAAAAAAAAAAAAAGAGAAAAGATTTGATCTGGAAAATAACATACATAGCATGTAAATTATAAAGCATGATAAATACTTATGAACTTAACTAGTTTAAGAAAACATCACCAGGCTGGGCATGGTGGCTGATGCCTGTAATCCCAACATTTTGGGAGGCCAAGGTGGGAGGATCTCTGGAGCCCAGGAGTTCAAGACTTGCCTGGGCAACATAGTGAGACTGTCTCTATGTGGGAAAAAACAAATTAGCCAGGCATGGTGGCAGCAAATATAGTTCCAGCTACTGGTGGGGGTTTGGAGGTAAGACTGGAGAGGATCCCCTGAGGCCAGGAGTTCAAGGCTGCAGTGAGCCATGATCACACCACTGCTCTCCAGCTTGGGCAAAAGAACAAGATCCTGTCTCTAAAACAAACAGAAAACTATTAGAGATCGTTTTTTTTTTTTTAATCTAATTGATTTTTTTTTTTTTTTTTGAGATGGAGTCTTGCTCTGTTGCCCAGGCTGGAGTGCAGTGGCACAATCTCAGCTCAGGTTCAAGCTGTTCTCCTGCCTCAGCCTCCTGAGTAGCTGGGACTACAGGCGCACACTACCATACCTGGCTAATTTTTCTATTTTTAGTAGAGATCAGTTTCACCATGTTTGCCAGGCTGGTCTCGAACTCCTGACCTCAGGCAATCCGTCTGCCTCAGCCTCCCACAGTCCTGGGCCTCTCAAGTAGCTGGGATCACAGGTGCCTGACACCACTCCCCACTAATTTTTGTATTTTTAGTAGAGATGGGGTTTTGCCATGTTGGTCAGGCTGGTCTCGAATTCCTGACCTCATGTGATCCACCTACCTTGGCCTCCCAAAGTGCTGGGATTACAGGCATCAGCCACCATGCCTAGCCACTAATTTTTAAATTTTTTATAGAGATGGGGGTCTCACTCTGTTGTCATGGCTGGTCTTGAACTCCTGGGCTGAAGCAATCCTCCTACCTCAGGCTCCCAAAGTGCTGGGATTACAAGCATAAACCACCATGCCCAGCTCAGAAATTTAATTTGGGACATGTTGGGTTGGAGGCATCCATTAGACTTCTGAGGGGAGATGTCAAAGAGAAATATATATGAGTTAGGAGGTGTTTTTTTTGGTGTGTGTGTGTGTGTGTGTGTGTGTGTGTGTGTGTTTTGAGATGGAGTTTCGTTCTTGATTCCCAGGCTGGAGTGCAGTGGTGTAATCTCGGTTTACTGCAACCTCTGCCTCCCGGGTTCAAGCAATTCTCCTCCCTCAGCCTCCTGAGTAGCTGGGATTACAAGCATGCACTGCCACACTGGCTAACTTTGTATTTTTAGTAGAGATGGGGTTTCTCCATATTGGTCAGGCTAGTCTTGAACTCTCCATCTCAGGTGATCTGCTTGCCTCAGCCTCCCAAAGTGCTGGGATTACAGGCATAAACCACCATGCCTGGCCCAGGAGTTTTTTTTTTTTTTTGAAACTCGATGTTTATTTTCCATGAATCTTACATGTTGTTTAAGAGGCCACACAAGAACAGCTTAAGACCATTCAGTGGTTGCTCCTACCCATTCAGTGGCCTGAGCAGTAGGAGCTGCAGACCAGTCTTCCGTGGCAGGCTGGGCGCTCCAGTCTTCAGTAGGGAACTGCTGGATAGGCACAGAGGGCACCTGCACACCTTCAGACCAGTCGGCAACCTCAGGCTGAGTAGCAGTGAACTCAGGAGCTGGAGCAGTCCATTCGCCCTGAAATTCCTCCTTGGTCACAGCCTTCTCAGCAGCAGCCTGCTCTTCTTTTTCAATCTCTTCAGGATCTCTGTAGAAGTAGAGATCAGGCATGACCTCCCACGGGTGTTCACGGGAACTGGTGCCACGCATGCGCAAAACTTCCCGAGCCAGCATCCACCACATCAAACCCACTGAGTGAGCTCCCTTGTTGTTGCATGGGATGGCAATGTCCACATAGCGCAGAGGAGAATCTGTGTTACACAGAGCAATGGTAGGTAGGTTGACATAAGACGCCTCCGTGAGAGGCTGGTGGTCAGCCCTTGGGTCAGTGACCACAAGCAGCCGTGGCTCCCGGAAGGCTGCCTGGATCTGGTTAGTGAAGGTTCCAGGAGTAAAGCGGCCAGCAATTGGAGTGGCTCCAGTGGCAGCAGCAAACTTCAGCACGGCCCTCTGGCCAGTATTCCTGGAAGATATAACACTGACATCAGCAGGGTTTTCAATGGCAACAATGGCACGAGCTGCCAGGAGAAGCTTCTCCCAGGTCCTCTTCAGATTTATGATGTAGATGCCATCACTTTTCCTTTTATAGATATACTGCTCCATCTGGAAGTCAAGGTTGGTGCCACCTAAGTGGGTTCCTGCTGCCAGGAACTTAAGGACATCCTCCTCCTTCATTTGCAGGACATCGAGGGCTCCGGACATCGTGAAAGTTTCCCTTTAAGTTACGACGGGAATCCAGAACAACGCCGTTTGGAGCCCTCGGCAGGTAGCGCGGAAAGCGAGTTTTTTTTTTTTAAAAGGACTGGAGATTTTAAACATTGGGCATTACTAGCATGAGTGGTATTGGAAGTCATTCGGCTGGATGAGACCATCAGAGGACTATGGATACAAAAGACAAGACCACTCTGCTGTGGTCATGCTAATGTCAGGAATTATTGGTGGCTAGGCGTGGTGGCTCATGCAGGTAATCCCAGCACTTAGGGAGGCCGAGGTGGGAGGATCATGAGGTCAAGAGATGGAGACCATCCTGGCCAACATGGTGAAATCCCATCTCTACTAAAAATACAAAAAGTAGCCGGGCATGGTGGCGTGTGCCTGTAGTCCCAGCTACTTGGGAGGCTGAGGCAGGAGAATTGCTTGAATCTGGGAGGCAGAGGATGCAGTGAGCCAATATTGTGCTACTACACTCCAGCCTGGCAACAGAGCTAGACTCCATCTGAATTAAAAGAAAAAAAGAAAACAATTGTTGAAGAGGACAGAGGATGAACCAGTGCGGTAGAAGGGACACCAGGAGAGTATGTTCTCGCCGATGCAAATGAAGACAGTGTACCCAGGAGGAAGGAGTGATCAACAGGTCAAATGCTACCAAGGGATTAAATAAGAGAAGGACTGAGAATAACCGTAGGGTCCAGCAACACCGAGGCTACTGATGACCTTGACGAGAACAGTTCGGTGGAGTGTGGGAATAAAAGGCTGCCTAGAGGGATTTAAACAGAGAACAGGAAAAAGAAATTGGAGGCACCTCGTATAGATAGCTATTTCAAGGAATTTTGCTGCAAAGGTGAGCAGAGAAATGGAGCAATAGCTGGTGGGGAAAGTGGAGTCAAAATTTTTTCAAACATGTGGGTTGACACTTCTCTCAACAACCAGAACTTATTGGTTGTGATTCCAGTCTATTACTACCTCCAAAAGCTCTCCCATTTTTTTCTGCAGCCCCGTTACCCCTGCCTGGTGTCAGGCCCTCATCATCTTTTGTCTGCATTCCCACAGTAATAGCCCAGTGTATCCTGCAGGCTGCCACCAGCAGGTAAGTCTGAAAACCACTGGGCCCAGTTCTCCCTTGCTGTCTCCTTTCCTAGAGGATGAAAATTGGATGCCTGGGTGAAGGATGGATGCTGTTTCCTGTGTATGAATCAGGGTCCCAGCAGGAAAGAGAGAACACACCCCAGTGAGAATAATGTGAGAGGCTGGGTGTGGTGGCTCACGCTTGTAATCCCAGTGCTTTGAGAGGCTGAGGCAGGAGGATCACTTCAGCCCAGGAGTTTGAGATCAGCCTGGGCAACATGGCAAAACCCCGTCTCTACAAAAAACACAAAAGTTGGTTTGGTGTGGTGGTGTGCACTTGTAGTTCCAGCTACTTGGGAGGCTGAGGTGGGAGGATCGCCTGAGCCCAGGGAGGTTGAAGCTACAGTGAGCTGTGATTGCACCACTGTACAATATGTTGCCTGGGCAACAGAGTGAGACCCTGTCTCAAAAATAAAGGGAAAAGAAAAAAAGAATAATGTGAGACTTGACATAAAGGGACTGTTTCCATAGGAATGGGCAGAGTACAGGGAGATCACAAGGGTTAGTGCAGTTTCCTGGGACTGGTAACATGGGACTCTGTTACCCCTAGGCCTGAAGAAAGTCCCTGGAGGGGAGGAAATGGGAAGATACAGGTTCTGGAAACCTCTGTGAGGCTGAAGAGTGAGTTCTTCCCAAGAACCTGGAAAAAAGGGTGCACCTGAGAGTTACAAAAAACCCAACCAGAACACATGTGGGAGTAAATCCAAGATGGCTGGTCTGTAAATGTGTGACTGAGTGTTTGGGAAGCAGCTAAAGGCCGTCAAGGGTGGCGGCTGAGGATGCCTCAGGGAGGTGGGCTGGAGGGGGACCCTATTGGGTGAATAGAAATCCTGATTGTATTGAGTAAGCTAATAAAGTGTTTACAGGAATATCTAGCACTCAGCAAGCACTAAGGAAGTAGATGCGTTTTTTAAAATCTTTTTTTTTGGGGGGGACAGGGTCTCGCTCTGTCCCCCAGGCTGGAGTACAATGGCATATACAATGGCACTATCTTGGCTCACTAGCCTCTGACTCCTGGCCACCTTACCTGGTGTAAGGCTAGTGTTTACAGGAATATCTAGCACTCAGCAAGCACTAAGGAAGTAGATGCGTTTTTTTTTTTCTTTTTTTGGAGACGGAGTCTTGCTCTGTTGCCCAGGCTGGAGTACAGTGGTGCGATCTCAGCTCACTGCAACCTCTGCCTCCCAGGTTCCAGCAATTCTCCTGCCTCAGCCTCCCGAGTAGCTGGGATTACAGGTATGTGCCACCACGCCTAGCTAATTTTTGTATTTTTAGTAGAGATGGGGTTTCACCATGTTGGTCAGGATGGTCTCTAACTCCTGACCTTGTGATCTGCCTGCCTCAGCCTCCCAAAGTATTGGGATTACAGGCGTGAGCCACCGCGCCAGGCCAGGAAACAAGGTTTTAAAGTACTTGACTGAGGCCGGGCGTGGTGGCTCACGCCTATAATCCCAGCACTTTGGGAGGCTGAGGTGAGTGGATCACGAGGTCAAGAGATCCAAAGTTAGCTCAGTGAGCCTGGAATCCCCATGAGGGGAAAAGGTGTGACAAGTTTCTCAGTCAAGTACTTTATTTTATTATTTTTTTTTTTTTGAGAAAGTTTTGCTGTTGTTATCCAGAGTGGAGTACAATGGTACTGGTAACTGGGCTTCCTAAGGAGTAGCCCAAATTGCCTTCATCTATTGATGAAGAAATTCAGTTCTGCTTGACGGTTTTATTTCTCTGTGCAAATTAATATCTGGGCTTCTGGGTTTGTACATAGGCCTTTATTCTGGTCAAATGCCAGACCTGCAAAGGGAGTTGAATCCACTCACTGAACCAGTGAAACTGGGTTTTGAAGCCAGAGGTCTGGGAACCATGTCCCGTGAAACAGCCAAAGGTATCCATCTTTAGCAGAACTACCTTGTACCAGTTAATCTGCAACAAGTGAGTAGAGAGAATGAAGGGAAGATCTAGCTAGACAGGCCAGACAAGACTCCAGGGATAGCCAGGAAAGAGGGTCCTCCTGAAGCTTTGCCTCACCTTAGGCACCTCCTCCTTCAGGAAGTCTTCCTTGGTCCTCGCTCCACCCAGGCTGGGTTAGGTACCCTAACCTGTACTTTTCATGGCACTAGTCACACCGGGCAGGGAGCATCTGTTTGCTTGTCACAATACACCTGAGCTTTTGGAAGGTAAGGATAATGTCTTATTTCTTTGTGGCTCAGGGGCCTGGTGCAGAGTAGGTAGGTACTCAATGTTTCTTGAGTGTCTAACTTGACTGAATGAATGAATGAGACAGAATGGATTGATTAAAGACAAGACAGGGTGGACTGTAAGCCCTCCAGGGTGGGAACCCCGACTGCCTGTGATGTACTCCCCAGTGCTCAGCACAGTGCCTAGCAGAGTCAGTGCCGGAAGTGTTCCAGATACACTGACCCAGGGTCAGACCCCACTTGCCTCTTCTCTAAGATTCTCTACCCGACCACCTCTCCTTGCTGCTGCTGGCTGTGACAGAACATGCAGTCCCTGCTGCCCACTCAGCAACCCAGAACCGGGTCGCACCTAGACTTGTTCCCTGTCGCTGCAGATGTAGGGTAGTCTGTTCCCCACTACCCCCCCACCCCCCCCGCCGCCCCAGCCCAGGTAGTCGCCCAGGGCAGGGTCTCCCGGTCTGCTAGGGTGCTGCACCCGCAGCTATCGGTCTCTTAGGTCAGATGCCGGGAAGCGCAGGCGGTTTCTGCCCCTCCGGAAAACAGTCTCCGAGCTGCGCCACCATCCCGTCTCGGCGGAGCAGGAGTGGGGAATGGGAAGGTGGGAAGGCGAGTCCGCGACTCTGCTCCCCCACCCCAGCTGGCGCAGCTTTCCACGCACCCCCTGATCGCCCGATCCTGGCTCTGGCGGGTGCTCCTTGCAGCCCCACGCTTTGCAAACTTTCTGAGTTTTACTCCATTTGCGTCACGGAAAAGGCAGGAGGATGACGGAGTCCAGGAAGCGAGGCAGCGGCGGCTGGCACGCTCCCCCGCCGGGCGCTCCAATCATGGGGGCGTGAGGTGTCTCCGGCGAAGGCCCACAAGCAAAGGGAGAGCCGGAGAGGCGGCGGTCCCAGGGAGCAGCCCCGGAGGCTCTCGGGCCCCCTGGTCCCCGGGTCGTCTCCTCCCTCTCGCCTTCCTGACTGAGCGCCAGTGAGCCAGGGCGCCGGCCAGATGGGAAGCCGCGCGGAGGAGTAGGCGGGGGCTCGGCTGTAGCGCCCCGGGCCCGCGGGAGGGCGGAGCCGGCCGTCCCTGCCCCGCTGGGACGCACGGAAGCGCGGCGGAGTTTGCCCGAGTCTCCAGCCTGCTTTCCCCTCCCTCCTCCCTCTCCCCACCCCTCACCTCCCCTTCGGCTATCCCCTCCTTCCTCAGGACGCCACCTCCCGGAATCGCCTTTTTGTTTTGGAGCTGCCGTCTCGCTGGCGGCGCCTAGGGTCTGCGAGCGCGGGGGAAGGCCGGCTGGGGGCGCAGCCCGCCCCCCACTGACTGGGCCCCGCGAGGCCGAGCAGAGGACGGACGGACGGCCCCGCCATCTGCTCGCCGGGGCTCACTCTCCAAACTCCTGTTGAGTGTTTGTGTGCACGCGAGGGTGGGGGGCGGGGGGCGTACGTCCCGGGGGCGGGACCGGTTTCTGCTGGGGTTACCTTTGGACGGGGTTCCTGGGATTCAGAGCAGGGTCAGCGTCAGGCTCAGAAACTGCTGAGGAATTGGGCAAACAAAAGAGACCACTCAGCGAGTGGCCAGAAGTCGCCGGAGCGCCTCGTCGCGCCCCCTCCCTCCTCCGGGGTTGGAGCTGGCCACTTTTGGGGCGGGGAGAGGGCGCCCGAGCTGGCGGGGGCTCCGGCTGCGCAGCCGGGGTCGAAGAGTTGGCGGCCTGTTGTGTAAGCCTCAGTCCTTGTTTTCCCGGCCTGGCTCGTTGTGAAGCCGGACACATCACCCTTGGA